AAGTCAGAGAAGAAGATTAAGCCTTAGGAGAAGAATAAGTGTAGAAGAAAAGCTGGAGCCTCTTTATACCTTTATCCAATCAGAGTGTTATGAATGATATATATAATTATCATTCTATTGAGTGGTGGTTTATCATTGGTGAATGGATGGGAAAAGCAAGAATTGCTACATGGGTGGCGACATCGTCACAAGGAGATAGATTGTGCCAGTGCTTATCATTATACTAATCACTAGTCCTTCATTGCATACGTTCATTTTTACCTTTTTTCACTAAGTCTCGTTTACTTGAAGCGTTTCAATAAGCATAAAATTATGTTAAGTAAATAAGTGACCTAGTATTTATTAATTATGACTTACACTGGCTAATAAATAACAATTTCACCTAGTATATAAATTATGTGAACATGAGGAAGTTACTTAAACAAGTTTTGCAGCCGTTTTCAAATATTTCAGTCATAGAAAATTTATACTGCAATTTTCGTTCGTAGAAATTTGTTAGGAAATCAAAATTTAGGTAAGTGTTTACTTTTCTAGGTGTCTATATGACCCAATGAATAGATAATTCCTTGAATGGATGAATTTCTATAAGAACTATTGGATCTCAAACGAGACATTCAAGCTTAAGTCATATGAAATACTAGACTTTTTTTATTCACCTCGGTTGATTTCTTATATTTCATGCATGAAAAATGATCAGAAATAAAATATGGAATTTAAACGTATGGCTGTTTTCCTTAGACTTAGTAATTGCAGTGTTTGAGCAAGAAGCATGTTAAGAATTTATTATCAATCGGGGGATCCTCAATTTGCATCAAAATAGAATTCTTAAAACTCATTCGAAATGATACCTCTTATCGATTTTCTTTTAAGGACTCATTGCATACACCATTGATGGGAATATGTTGTGCTAATCGTACTGAACTAAATCTCCTGTACGGTCCGGACAATAGTGCTCATGAAGATCCTATTTGGGACAGCTCGGAATTGTTGGAATCGTCTACTCATAGAAAAACATCTTCTGTTATTCCTACTGAAGAACTTATCACATCCACTATATCAATCGATTCGTCCGTCTCTACTGTAAAGGCGATCGATATGTTTTCGATATTTTCCAACAGAACATTTGTGGTTACAAATGAAGAAGAAAACGAAACGTCTTTGATTCTTAAACAAGCTGATCACAGCAGTATAATCGAGCCTGTTGTTACAACAATCAGCGATGAGCATTTCCAAAATCAGCTGTTAAAAACAAATAGCTCGTTAACGGAACAAGTTTTGAATGCTTTAGACGTATTCGATAGTAAGAACAACCAAGAGATTCTCGAAGTTAGAGCAATAGTTGAAGAAAGAACGGTCCAACCAGAGCATAATCACACTAACGCACGCATTAACACTAATGAAGAAAATGATATGTTATCACTAAATGAGGCATTTTCGACAAATGAGGTTCCTACAATAATAAGCAGTCCTGTAAATGTGTCACTTTCGAATACTGTTGTAGAATCTAAAAGAGCAAAAGCCTTAATTAAATCATCTTCTGCGGTAGAAGATCAAGCTGACATTATTTCACATACTTTTTCTCCCGTTGAAATGACGGAAAAACATGAACAGCGTATTCTTCTGACTGAAAATGCGTTGGTGAAAGCAGGTGAAAATGACGAAGAAAACGAAGAACATGCCAAAATCGTTAACCTAATATCAGAATCAACAAAAGAGGAACTGAAAACCCAATATGATGAGAACGAAACAATTATTAGCGTAAATGTTGCTAACGAAGGAAACTTACGTCAGTCAAGACCCATTAAGCACAACGGACCTTTATCAAACGAAACTCAGACTTATATAAATGAGTTGGAAGCCACTGACGTCGATAATATAACATCAAGTGACGACAACCAGCAGCAAATCGTCTACTCATGCGAACGACAAAAATATGAGTATGTCGTCTCAACAATTTTTTATTATTTTTAATGCTTACAGTTGAAATAGGATGACTTATGAAAAGGTGGGAATTTAGATATTTTTGCCATTCTGGTCAAGTAATCACTCAACCAGCGATAAGATGGTATCTAAATGAAAATAAACAATGCGAATATTATCCGTGGGGATATTGTCCAGGTATGGACTCGTTGAACTTAATTCAATTAGAGGAATTGTTTAATCTTGAAACTCCATCTAGGCGATCGTGTAGTGGAGTCGACGACGATAAGAACAAAAGCAGAATGCGAAAGGGTATGCATGTTGAATTTCGAAAGTGAATCCCAATCGAATGCTTCTTTCATCACCGACGACAATCAGAATTTTCTAAATTTAGAAAACAAAAAAAGTTAAGGCTTTTTTGCTCTTCTGAATTGTTAAGTTGCCTGTTTTACAATAATTCAAAATTTCTCTCTTATAAAGCCAATGATATCATCTGAATCGATGGGCGCTGTAAGTGAAATAAGCAATACATTTGCGGTGTAATTCTGAAGGTTGGCGCCGCATGAAGCACTTAAAGCTAACGCTCGCTATCTAGCTTATGATTTTCTTTCAAATAAAACGCTATCAACATGTGGAAAAGATATTTATGGACTGCGGCAGCTTAACCGTGTTCGTCATCGTTTCCAAATAATCAAAAGGGAAATTTCCAAAGAGGAATAGTTCCCTGAAAATGATCTGAGCTGTAATCTGACACATTAAGTAGTTATATTAGTTGCTAGGAAACGAATCTCACCACTACTAATCAATATTCATTTATTTAGTTCATTTATCTAAAGAGTTGACTTAATCGATCAATCTTCAATTTATTTATATTTTTTTAAGATTTTTTGCTCACACCAGTATTTCAGGTCTGGAGGTTGTTGACATAGCGGCAAAATTTGAGGATGTTGAGACTGAACTCACGGAAAGATCATTTAATTGTACTGAGGAAAATTGTCAGCCTGATAGAGAACATGAATCAATAGAAAAAACTTTCGATAACGAAGCTCGTGAGAAATCTATTACTACCTTGGCTCCTAAAAATCTTATTAGTAACAATAAGTCAATATATGTTGTTCAATCACTGAACGATTTAAAGCAGAAAACAATAAACGATATCAGTAATCGCACTATAGTTATTGCGATTGGAGAAGAAACATTCAAACCACAATCTGATAGAGGTTCATCAGCGAGCGCACCGTTATCAAGTGAGGAAATTCTCACTTATGATTATGAACTAAAGATAGGAATTCCAGAAAAAGATGCTGTATCAACTGATGGGAGTATCGCCGGGTACACGATTCCTCTTGGTAGCCCAGTGCTCTCTAATACTACTGAAAGCTCATATTCAATCAAAGACCTCACTGATCAAGAAGCTGCCTTGGAAACGGCATCGAAAAAAGTCGAAAATCATTTAAATACGGAAGGACAATTCTATCGTGAAGACGTATCGGGAAAGAAAGTTTTTGTTGAAGCTTCAGTTCGAAACAATGAAATTGGAAAAGCTAACAGAACAGGTGACATTATTTTCTTTTCTATTTTGCTTAAATGAAATTTTATAACTCTGTTTCTTACTCGTTCGTTTTTCTACACTTTGTCTAATTTTTTTGAAATCCAAACAACTTGAAGCTCCATCATGAAAAACAAACGTTCCTTAAAATCCACGTAAATATTGGTGCATATGGCAGTCATATCCTAAATTTCTTCATATTACTACAAAGTAAAAATATTATTGTGGTGCAAAATGAACTACGTTTTTTGCGGTGTTGAGAATGTCATTTTGCCGCAATCGTTGTTGCACGGAGCTAAACTAGTGATAAATAAGCTTAGAATAAAAGGAGAAGTGAGTGATATGAAATTGAGGTTGAAATCACATCTATTCATTAAAACAATGGTAGGGGGGATGACAGCACGTTCATTCCTTCAATGTTTTTCTTCTTGTAGAAAGATCAGCTATAATTCGGGGAAAAAAGGATAATTTTATATGAAAGAAGGAACATTGACAATAACTAAGTCAAACCTCATAAGGAGTTCATGTATATAATGAGTACATAGGTTACGATAATTTACAGAACACGTAATATGCTACCGGTCCACGTATAGATTCCTCTGCGAGAACGGAATGCCATCGCAGTTCGTCTACAGGTGGGCGAAAGAGGACGGCAGATGTCGTTCATTCCCTTACGGATATTGTTTGGTAAGCGATTTCTGTTACAGTAACAATAAAAATTTCGCTTTTAATTTTTTTGTCGAATTCCTTTGCTCGTGTATTTGTAAGGTGTTTGTTTTTCAGTCAGAATTGAATTATGCTCATCCACGAACACTAGAAGAATGTGAACAATATTGCGATTAAAAATCATTATGTATCATTTGTTATTTTAAAACTTGAGAATAAATAAATATCGTTCATCGGTTAATTAGCAGTACCAGTACCACCATGATTACTCACTACTAATAGTTGTAGTACTACTGCGACTATTACTATTCCTACAGTGAAAAGCATTGCTAACAAACAGAAAAGAAAATTTGCTCAATAAACATACGTTTGAAAAGATATAACCTCATTCGATTCAAAATTTAAAAATATTATGAGATGGTTGTTTTCAAAAACGCCCGAGCTTATACACCAATGGGAAACACCTAAAGCTGCAAGTGTAGCAAATATTCCTATTTTCCACTCCGTTCTAACCCTTCTATCACCTATCAGTACAATCAATATCGTATCACTCTGATAGGATCAATCTATAAAAGCATAACTCCACTGCACCTTACTTTAATTTTGACTTCTGCACTTTTGACTGTTGCTTTCAAACTCTTGTCCTTGACTTTGGACTTCGACTTAGTCTTGGACTGTGGCCTTTCTACATCGACAAATCCCTTGAGATATCTCGCTCTTCACTTCCTCTCACTTCATATTGTATCACCGCGTTAGTTTGTGTTTATATTGTTTTGTTTGATAACAGTTTATCCATACAAGTTTGAGGTGCATCACTCGACCTTGAAATAAACTTTACGGCTACTGAACCCAAGCCAACATACGCTGTATCGGCCGGGAATCGAACCCGGATCACCAGCATGGCAGGGAAGCATTCTACTACTGAACCACCGTTATGCAGTGATTGTCGTTCTCCGTTTGAGTCTTGTCAAGTTCGTTTTGAAGTGCTCTCCTCGTCTTCCTTCCTTGGTACCAGAGGAGTCTGGGTAAGATAACTGGCACTG